ACTGACAGCAATCCTATTCACCGCTAAATTATCTGAATTCAAGAAGAATGCTGGATGTTTACAGTTGTGAGATAAATATGCCAGTTCAGCTCCAGACGTTATCACGCGTATTCTCGATGGACTTCAGCGAAACTGGGAAAGGTCTAACACATTCAATAGTGAGGTGGTTAATGGAGTACCTCATGCTGATATTCCATGGGTCCTCCAGTTTCGCTAAAGCCTGCCGTGTGATGCGCGCGATAGCGGGCGGAGCAAAACTGGTATATAAAGATAAAGATTGTGATGTCATGAAAGAAAGCAGATTTGTCGATTCTCGGTGGTCTGACAACTTTCTCATTGTCGCAGAGTTGTATGTACAAAGGATAGAAAAATATTTATTGTCCTAATCCTGGGATATATTCCCTTGGATCAAGTGGATGCTTTTATTATAAAACTGAAGCCACACACCGCAAAATCTACAAGTTTTCTTACAAAGGTATTGGTAGAGCGGTACATTTTTCCTACACTTATGCTCTTTCCAAGCCAACTGACAAAATGATTTTTCATACCTATCTTTACAATTAGGGCACTTCCCACAACTTCTTGGACAATATTGTGTAATATTATGGTAAGGTGAGTATTTCTCACACCACCCCACTGCCGCAGAGATGCAAGCTAAAGTAGGAAGCTTATCGTCACAGTCATCACAAGCTTTACAACTGTATGGACATTTTTCCAAGAAATAACTACTGAGACGCCCATGACATTCTCCCTGTTCAGCCATTCGCTTGCAATTATCGAGGCGATCCACGCATTCCTTCTGAAAATAGCCGATGTTACTTGCTGAGGCCTTAACAACATTTAAAGGCATTAAAGGTGTGGCTCTTGCACACGAATGCGAATGTATTGGTGCAAATTGAAGTAAAGAAAAAGGAAAAGAATCCGTCGAAAACGCTCAGGTTGAGGGCTCACTCACCTTCCTAATCGGCTGTGCTAAGGGAATGAGAGACTAAGCGCGGAGAGAGTATGAGGCGAGAGAGCGCTACAGATGAGAGAGCGCCAGACAACAGCCTGATAAGAGAAAAAATCTGCAGCTTCAGCAGCTTACTTTGCAAGGCCCAAGCGCTCTTGTCGGTTGGTTTCCGTGCACGGGAACGCCACATTTGTGATTGTCCTCTAGGGGTCTATACTACAGACCGAAGGGAAGCGTTCACACGACTCTGCCTGGGTTGTGCCTTTAACTTCGCGATTTCAATTTCATGTTCTGCTATGTGGAGTGGCCTCTGCTCTTTTCGACCGATACTCTGTAAGATTTCCGTTTATTTTTCCTGTATTTTATTCTACTTCCAGACGCTAGTGCTTCTCATCGATACTTTCCCACTATATTCTTCATTTTCGTGACAAGGGAAGAAAGGAAGCACAGCGATTCCTGTCGAGACGCATCGTAATAGGTAACACTGCTCAGTAGCCTCACAATCTCTATACCTCTCATCGCCTAATTCATTTAAGATATTACTAAACTTATTAGTGGAAAGTATAACGTTGGTGCGTAATTCATGCGACAGATGCGGATTTTTTCTAAATTTTCTCGTTCCTTAATTCAAAACCACTGTTGTATCGTAGTTAGAAGGAGGTAGAACATTGGTTAGAGAAGATAGAATGCAAGCTTGCTTACTCTGTACTACCACTAAATTTTGAACGAGAGAATTGAAAATTAAGATCCGCACAGTATCGCAAAACTTATACACCATTCAAATATTTTTTCTGATAGTGTTCCTTCTAATTATACATTTCGATGAAATCAGCAAATCGCCGGTTTTACAGGAAATTTCTGACCGCAGGGAAATTCTATCCTGCACTTGCTTTTCAACTATTCGGTGAAGGCGCACCCAGTACACTAAAATTACGCTACGTTTGAGCCACACCCAAAGCGTATAGCGATTGAATGTTTACTCGGGCGAGTTCAGCTGTCAGTTGATGAAGCAGACCAGGTGCCCACTAGGTGGCTACCCTACTGTTGTGAAACCTAACTTCACCGGTCTCTAATTTTTAGTTGATGGCTGCCTCAAGAGGTCTTTGAGGCTGTCGGGTTCGCTTATAGGTATTGATGGTGCTTACACTATTGTAGAGAGCTGCATGACAACGGGGGATATACCTAGTAGCCACTAAAGAAGAGTGTTATTATCGATTACGCAGTTATACCGTCTTTTAGGCGTGTGGTTTACGGTTATGGATGTACTGGTACTAGATTGTTAGTAGCTGAATTTAGCCATTCCGTCTGATGAACTACAAAGTCCGAAAAAGTGAGTACCTCTTCGTTCCCAGTCTCCACAGATTTTACAACTTTTTGGACACTCTTTTTCGAAATAACCCTTGAGGAGACTATTACATGCTCCCTGCTTTGGCCATTTCGGCGCAATTATCGAGATGATCCTTGCATTCACTCTGGAAATATTCGACGTTACTTTCTGCTATCATAAATTCCGCTTCTGTGAGGGAAGAACATTCCACCTCGCAGATGCCTAATTTCATGTGCTACCACATATAATATTTGCCTTATCTGTTATTCTACGCCATATTTTTGGAGATTTGGCGAAAGGTTCTGACGGCGCGCGGAGTTTTCCCACCTTCTTATGTTATGACAGAGGAAAGGGATCGTATCAATACGCGTGTGTTTTCTATGTGCGGTGTGTAGTTTGTCTGGTTGCCAGAGCCTTCTCAAAATCCACTTTTTGGGACATTTTCTTTCGAAATTCTTTGAAGTCACCACTGCATGCGCCAAGACGAGCCGAATCCTCGCAATTCGATAAAATATCCTTGCACTGACACTGAAAATTTTCGGTATTACTTTCTGAGTCCTTAATACTGCTTTCTGTGATTTGACAGACATCGACCGGCTTCTTCACTTCACGTAGTACACCAGTCTTATTTAAAAATCTTTCTTCTGATAGTAGCCTCATAGCGTGTATGTTAGAAATGTGACTTTGGACGCACTGATCATGGCGAGCAGCTCCGTATATACGGGGGGGGGAGGCAAAATAGAGTCACTTGCCCTCATGCGAACTGAACATTATACGCGTGGACCAAATGATCTTAAGTGAATATTAAAGAACACACGCTAATCTATCAAAAAAGTTACATAGCAGCCTTCTACACCGACGACATCAGAAGATTTTCCCACGTGGTTCACGGTACGAGCTCAACGAGGTCGTCGAGGTACCATAGACCATTACGACGTCCCTGAAACGCTGGTCAAAAGCGGTCTTGCACAGTCACAGCTAGTGTCTCTGGAAGCTATTCACCAGTTAATCGATTGAAGAAATTATGTAGCAGCTTCAGGCCGGAGCGATTACGGTAAGCCTCGACGGTGACGGCAGATGACGTCATATTCTGAAGACGGTGGGGGCAGTGAAGGAGGGCCTGCTTCTGCTTATGGGGGACACCTAAGGAATATTCTGCCGTAAAACATTCATCAACAACGGCATCCTGTGCGACGAAAAATTTGATGATGTGCGCCATGGGCAAGTGACTCTTTTTTTTGCCCCCCCCTTAATGTTCAGTGGTTAAGGTTTATGCTAGCGCCCTTTACAGTGTGAGAACACTGAAGCGAGAACGTCTATGGACGGAGCCTGAAAGCGGCGTCAAGGGTGGAGCCCCGTCTCTGACGTCGCGGCTGCGACAGGCCGGGAATATTCAAGTCTCAGTCGGCGTTCAAAGCAAAGCTCTTGATAAAAGAAGGGAGAGGTGTGTAGTGAGAAGGGTAGAGTGGGGTCGAAGTAGCAACTAGTGGCGTTTTCGTAGCAGAGAACGCCCTGCCAACAAAGTTATGAGGTGCAAAAATGTCCAATGGATTGAGTCGTAACGCACACCAAACTTGCTGCGTGACTTCCTTACCGAAATGCCTTTCATGTTGAGCCATCTCGTTATGAAATACTTGTAGTTCCATCTCGCTCTCTCGCAAATCTTCTCGAAAGTTCCTTTGCGCAGTAGGAGAAATAACTACCAACAGCACAATCACAAACTACAAGTGGTTGCAGTGGTCACCGAAAATCCAGCAGCCGTGCTTACCTCGTCCAAATTTAAAACTAAAGGGGAATAAGAGTGTGATTTTGCTCGGGTTCTGACCAGTTCTATTTTACTTTGAGACGCGCCATATGACACATTTAGTACATTTTGATGAAATCAGCAAGAAGCGAGTCTCGTCGTAGATTTCTGAACATAGACGAATTTAGGTCCTGCAGTCCCTGTCCCTGCAGTGAGTAGCACTCAATGCACTATGTTTGCGTAACACCGAAGAGAATTTTGCTATGCGTTTGAAGGGTTGAATTTTGACGGGAGCGTGTTTTAGTTTCCTGTTGATGAAGCAGAGCAGGTGCTTAATGGCGACCCAACAGATGCTGCCATCATGACTTTACCCGTCGCTGAGTCTAGAAAGCTACTCTCGAGGGCCCTTTGAGGAGTCGGACTTCGTTTATATCACGATTCATCACTAATGGTGAAAACCTCACTGACAACAAATGTTATACCTGAGTAGCCATCAAATGAGAAATATGATCGTGGTCAACTTACCGCAGTTGTGGTTTCCTGTGACGGCAGTGTAGGAGTGGCGTCTGCTCCAGGGGTTGTAGCCTGAGCATTGACTAATCCGTCAGAAACTACATACAAAGCAGAAAGAAAGTAGATACCTCATCGTCACCACAAATGTGACAACTATATGGACAAATTTGCTGGATTATAGGACCGAGACGACCTTCACAAGCACTTTGATTAGCCAGATTAGGGCAATTTGAGACTGTATCCGCGCATTTGCTCTGAAAAGATTACACATTGCTTTCTGAGCCCTCAATATCGATTTCTGTGATGAAGACAGACGTACACACTTCGCCATGTCCAAGCTATGTACTGAGTGTAATGAATAATTTCAGCTTATGAGTTTAGCCAATTTCAAGAAAACTTCACGAGCATTTGCATAGGTTTCGCAAGCGGCGTTTTCCCACTGTCTTCTTTGGGTTCATGTCGCAGAAAGAAAGCAATCACACCCTCGATTCGCTAGCGATTCGCCAGCGAATTAGCCAGATTAGGGCAATTTGAGACTGTATCCGCGCATTTGCTCTGAAAAGATTACACATTTCGCCAGCGAATCGCTAGCAAATCGCTGGCGAATCGCTAATCGAATCGCGAAGTATGACGTGCTGGCCTAAGGCGGTTAAAGCTTCTTTCAACTGAAGGGGGTACGTGCAAATTGAGAACCATAATCTGTGTAGTACTAGAATTTGGTAAGTCTTGTGGAGGAAATAAATAAAGAAGAGATGTTGTCATAGTATGCCATTTTTAGTGGCTAGTTTGTCGTTTTTGCTCCGTTTCTCGTTTGCTCGTTTGGTAGGACTCATCAATAATGATCATTCTTTGACTTTTTCACTTTTGTACTTCTTAAACGAATTTTTTGGTGGACGGTGGGGTAGCAGGGCTTTTTTATGAACAGTTTTGGGGAGAATTAAACAACCTTTTCATAGTTCGGCTTTTGAAGAGGGTCGTTTCATGGACTTCGGCCTCTGGCAGGGAGGGGGGGGGGGGGTCGTATTTCCAAATTTTCCTCGACGCCTCGCTTGACCCTGGTAAGGAGCTGGTGTCGAGGGCCGAAAACGGCGATTACGCGGGCACCGTTTCATCGACGACAAAATTCCTCACATGGAGCGGAGCTACAATCTTCAAACTCCGAGGATGCCCGCATGAGGTCTTGAGGAAGTCAGTGAGAGTGAAAGGAATATTCGCCACAAGCAGCAGCCGAACCTTATCATGGTCTGGACGGGGTCTCAACTACCGGTCGCTCACCATCACTGCCTGTTTACAAAGGAATACAACTTGATACTAGACCGAGCCAAGGGACATTTCGGTGCACCATCTGTTACTGAGGTATCTAGCCACTTTGAGGAGAGGTGATGATCTTTTTTTCGTTGGAACGCTCCATATGACACATTTAGTATCAAATTTTAATGCAATCAGCAAATCGCGAATTTCGTTGTGAACTTCCGACCACATACGAGTTTTGGCCCTGCACTCGCTGTTCAACTACATATTCACTGAAACAGCACCCTATACTACGTCTCAGCACCCGAAGAGTATTTCGCTGTGCACGGTCTGCTGTGTCTAAGGGATTGAATGATGACTAGGGCGCGATTTAGCTTTTGTTTATGAAGCAGAAAAGGTGCTACTAGATGGCTACTCTACAATTGTGCCACCACACTGATTCTGTGAAGGGTGCTCTTGAATGGCCCTTTGAGGAGTCTTCGGATCATGTGACGGATCTCAGCACTACGTGATTGTAAAAACCTCACTGACAACGAATGGTATACCTGAGTAGTCATCAAAGGAGAAAAATGCTCGTAGTCAACTTACCGCAGTTGCAGCGTTGATCAATCCGTCATGAGCCACAGAGCCGAAAATAAGGGCCAGGCAAAGAGAATAATAGTGCATGACTGCTGGTTGCTGCTTGTTCACCCGCTCACAGAGGCGCTTAAATGCAATCCGTCTCTTTCAAACCCCGCCCTATCTATACGGTAGGTTTCACAACTGCACGCAAAGAGTACTTTTCGATATGATGTTATAACCATTTTTGCTTCACTACAGCTTATATGACATTCTTTCTTATACTGGAGTTCATGTTTCTTTTCTATTTGGGAAAAATTATTCGTGGACTTCTGGTAAGTTTCTGCGTTCACTTAGTTTCAGCTTACACTAACGACAACAGCTTAAAAGGAGGACAACATATACAGCTATGGGGGGTTACACAGTCGAATCCAAACCAAATGAGCTCAACAGCGAATTAGAGCACATTCTAACCTATCAGAAAACTACATATGGTCTTCTACACCGACGACATCAGAAGATTTTCCACGGAAACATGGTTCACAGGTACGAGCTCAACGAGGTCGTCGAGGAAATAGACGATTACGACGTCATCTTTAAA